CGACCTCTGCCATCTACTCGATTGCTTCGTCTCCCCCCCCCTCTGGACGTGGCCCCATCTCCCGCCGCCAGTCAACGTGCACGACACCTGTCTCATCGCTTTGTCCCGGTAACGTCAGCCTCCCTCTCTCTGTCGCCGTATCATCAAATGTCAGAATCGGAATTAGAATCTTTATTTAGACTGGAGGAGGAATCCGATGAGCAGTGAAGTTTTTTTTCACAGGTGTCCGGTATGGGGCGGGTCCGCAAGTTACAACAGAAAACAATACAAAAAGTAAAATAATATCACCTGATGCCAAGTTCAATTTGCTCCGTGTAATTCTTCCCCGTTTGTCATTCATTCTTTTTGGATTGTCCTTCCCCCGCACCTCCGATGAGCACGGTTGGGTACATACGTTTCAAAAGACGTTCAGCATACATTCAACCCAGAGGAGTTACAGCTGTCTCCTTAGAATCGATATTTCTCGGAACAATCCAGCTTCTATTCCACCCCTGTGCTAACCGTCCCGTGTTCAAAGTTGACCAAATGTGACGTTTCAGCGCCCTAATCTGTGTCGAGAGTTATTTTTCCTGTTGTAAGTGAGCACCTGACATTCACGACCGCAGTCTTTGCTACCGCTTATCCTTTCTTTCCCCACGTCTTGCATTACTGTGGCTTGGGGAGTCCAGCTTCGAATAATTTCATTCCAAGTCACTTTCTAATCGGGAGAAGCAGTAGGGGAATCGTTGGTGACTGTACTCCTACGCTATGAACCCAGTGACCTGAGTTCGATACCCGACCACGGCTAACGTCAGTCGCCCTTGATATCTGAACCGCTCCTGGTCCCCAACTGTGCCCTCCCCCTCTACCAGCCCAATCACTGAACCAGTGTCGTGCTTGGTAGAGGGGGAAGTATGGTCAACATAACTCACACGACCAACACGGCATCGGGAGGTGTTCATCCAGCAGTGAACTGACGAACGACAACGTCCCATTATCACCGTTATCGTTTTTTTACCTGCGAGTTAAAATGCAGTCACGCGGTGGGCCGTTGCTGCTGCGGGCGTTGTGCGCTGGTTGACGGTCGCAATAACGTTTACAGTAATCCCTCGCCACTTCGCGGTTCAAGTTTCGCGGCCTCAGTGCATTGCGGATTTTTCGAACTGATTTAAAGACCTCATTATACCTGTGCAGTAACATCATCATCATTCATCATCTCATTCATCGAACTGCACAGGTCTGTCATCGTCGTCATTGTCATTGTCATCATCGTCGTCGTCATTACTGGAGTCAAGTCTCAAGATACTACTGTCATTGGTGAGTGTAGAACACCATAATACGTATCGTATGAGAGAGAGAGAGTGAATGCATAATATTAAGGTTTTATAATTAAATAGATTTAAGTAATATATATATAAAGTATAAATATACATATTTTAAACATTCTGGTACCCACATACACATATACGGAAATTCTTAGGGGGCCAATCCTACTTCGCGGATTTCACCTATCGCGAGGGGTTCCGGTCCCCATTAACCGCGATAAACGACGGATCACTGTATAAAGAATTGGCGCAAGTCTTGCTGCTGTGGGAATTCCACCGCCCAAACCGAAAACGCGGTTAAGCCCAACACTGCAACGACGGCGTATCGGTCTGGGCATTCCACGCCGCTGCTTCTTCTTCTTCTTTCTGTTGTCATCGTTGTAAGAGTGACGTTTTATTTTTTTTTAAAAATTTCCCAACGTAATCCGACGGGTGCATAAACGCCAAAAAAGTTGGGGGGGTGGTGGGGGGTGGGGGGGAATAGATGGCCGCTGCTTTCAGCCGGTGTGGTTGGTGATTGACACCATATCCAATAAATTTCTTTAAATAGCGGCTGAATGAGCCGCAGTACCTGCTGTGCTAAGCACCATTTTACCAGCGCTGGGGGATTTATGCAAAGCCGGAATTAGTTTTCACTCTTCAATGCTCCTGTTGTGATTTTGGCACAATGGGAAAACTCGAGACACTGCCAAGTGCCCCCGTAACTCCTTCTCTTTTCTTGGCAGCAAATATGAAATTTTTCCTGCGAAAATATTTCGCCGGTCCCAGGCTGGTGCGGAGAGAGAGCCGCCCCCCTCGCCCGAGAGAGCGGGCGGGCGGGCGGTCCTAGCAAACGTCCTGCGGGCACGGTGCGCGCGATGGATCAGGACACAGACGGGGTGTGCGGTGCGTGCAGTGCGTGCGGTGCGTGCGGTGTGGCAGCGGTGGCGGTGGTGGCGGTGGTGGTGGTGGTGGTGGCGGTGTGTGCCGGAGCTGTGGAAGTGCGAGAACCCAGCGGTGGCCTGGGCCAGGCCTCTCTGTGGGCCCTTTCAGCCACCACCGCGGGTATCCCACAGCTGCTCAGACCCGCTGCTCAGTTAGACGCCATCCATGCGCTCGCGCACGCACACTCCAAACACAGCGCTTGGGTTTTTTCCACTGCTTAGAAGCTGGTTTTTCCCGCAGCCTGTCGGAAAACGAGGACGCGTAGCTCGGCGTTATTCGGCGGCGGCGGCGTACTTAGGTTCGTGTTTTTGTCGCGCGCAAAAATGTGTCGCTGCTGGAACCGCCAAACGTTTATTCTGTAATCGCGTCTGCGTTTGCAAAACGGCAACCATTTGTGTTTTTGTATTGTTTACAACGTTTTAGTGGTGTTAAATGTGACGAAGCAAGGTTTTTATTTTTTCCAAAGCCACCGTTAATTTTAAACGGCAGCGGCATGTAACTTTTTTAACTGCAGCGGTGCTCAAAAACTTCACGGCTACTTCGCTAGAAAATCCCCCAAACATCAGCGCTGCGTTTCATTTAAAATAAAGCAGCGTGTAACACACAGCGGCTGCCTGCAATGCACAGCGGCAGTGGCCGGAGCGTTTTAACTAAATCTTCGGTGAACCCATCGTGTCCCGACCGTTCTCCGGGTCTCCCCCCCCCCACAACATTTGCTTTGCGTTCCCACAGAACGACGTCACTCTCGCTTGGCTCGCTCAGCTCCACAGCTACCTGGTGGGGCTACCGCGTGGGGCTACCGCGTGGGGCTACCTGGAAGGGTCACCCAGTAGGGTCACTCAGTGGGGTCACTCAGTGGGGCTACTCGGTGGGGCTACCCCGTTGGGCTATCCATAATAGAGGTTTTTGGGTTAGATCGCGTAAATATATGAATGTGTCGTTAAACCTGCCACTACCCGACACAGCCAACTAGTAAGGGTTGTCACGTAAACAGAACGTGCCAATTCGTCACTAGTACAGCACACCGGTGTGTTGGAGAGCCAAGCCACGACATTTACAATCTAAGCATGACGGTTCGCCAGTAATTACAACCAGCTTCATCAGGCGACAGCCAGATTTGTGGAGAAGTCCACCTGTTTCGTTCCTTATAAAGTGGCGTAGATGTGTTGACCACCCTTCTGTGCTCTTGCACAACGATGGGGGGGGGGGGGGGGGGGGCTACTCGGTGGCGCTACCGTAGCTCGCACAACGCGGGGGGCTCCGTGCGCCGGGCACCGCGGGTCTGCGAGCCTCCTCCATTGGTCCCCGTAACGGCGGCGCTGCGCCGGCGATGTCTGGCTGTCCGTCGTCGCTGCGGCCCCCGTGCGGACGTTGGGAAGAGCGTGAGCGTGACCGCTCGGGCGCGTCTGCGTGGGAGGTGGGGTCACTTCCCGGAGACAAAGGCGGCGCATAAGACTCTTATTTTTAATCAGATTAGGGACGGGGTCAAACTTCGTATCAATTAAACTCCGGGGTTGGAAAATACGAGGGACATTTCTCGGCCGCGCGCGGCATTGTGCTCGTGGCGCCGCGGACCGAACACTCGGGGAGGGAGGGGGGCAGGATGGGGGGGGGGGGGGGGACATTGGGAAAAGGAGTAAAAAAAAATTAAAGCGAATAGCTGGGGGGAAATAAATAAATAACCCCGAATTGAAAGCTTGGTTAAAATTAACCCTGCGTCTCCTGCCGGACCTCCCAGCGGCATCGCGCTGCTTGCCGGGCAGGATGAGAGCAGCGAATCGACCGCCCGGTCACACATCCGGATCTTGAGACGCGCCCCAACTCTGGCGTTTGCTGCAGAGATTCGTCGAGAAAGTGTCCGAGCTTCGGGCAGGGATGATCCGTCGATCGCCCTTGCCGGTGTCAGGTGCGAGGTGCAGTTGCGAGCGGGTGTTCCCGTCACCCTTCGCTTGGTTGCGTGCGCCTCCGTGGGTTTGCGTGTTGTGGGCCTTGTGTGCGTGTGGAATATTGGCCGCGTGTCCGTGTGTAAAAACGTAGACACGAAGACTTTGGTTTTGTATTCGCACCCACAGTCGCACGTGTGTGCACGCGCGCTGACGAGCGTCTGCGGAGCGGTGTCTATAGTGGGGCGAGCGCACTTTGCTACGAAGGTGGCAAAACCCAGGTTCGATTCCCAGCCAACGTCTGCGGTGAATGGCTGAACCGATCCCAGCTTCAATTGGGTACCTGGTGTGGTGCGGTGGCTTAAGCATCAGCGTTGGGGGGAGGGGGTGCAAATTTGGCGAGACGTGGTGCCGGCCTCATCACCCCCGTGTGTGCCGTGCCTGTCCTCATAAGCACTCGCTGATGGCACTTGCACCGACTGTTTAAGGCTTCACAGGTAACCTTTGTCTTTGTGTGAGTGTCTTGCATGAGTGTCTCGTTGTCTGCAGGTGTTGAGTGGAGCGGTGGGGTAGCCGTTAGCGCACTGTTCGATTCTCGCTCATGGCTAACATTAGTGTCGAATATCTAGACCGGTCCTGGGCCTCCCCTAGGTCGACTAGGCCTCAAATGTGTACCTGGTGTGACGTGTAAACATGTAAACATCGCCACTGGGGAGACGAAGGGAGCTGGGTCTGGTCTTGACCCCACCCCACCACCACGCTCGTGTGTCACAGTCCCGGCTTTCAAAAGTCTACTCCGCGAGCAGCACTTGCCCCAACAGTCCGTGAAGGCTATTACGTTGGGTGGGGGATCTTTGTCTTTGTTGGTGTCCGTGCATTGCTGCGGCAGGGCCGGAAGCTTCTCATCATCGGCACGTCGAGCCGCAGGGAGGTGCTGCAGGAGATGGAGATGCTGGACGCCTTCAGCACCACCATCCACGTCTCCAACATCTCCAAGGGCGAGCAGCTGATGGACGCGCTCGAAGTAAGGACACCACAGGATTGCATTGCCCTGCAGACTATAGGACTATAACTTGAAACTCTTTTTTTGTTTTACCAGGTGAGGCCCCCACTGGGCTTTGTAGTTCTTTTTCAGAAGCGACCTGGCCATCACAAGTGATAGCTCAACGAAGTGGCTTTATAGCAGCCGAATAATGTACAACACACGTCGATTCTAAATGTGGAGGGAAAATCCGGAGGACCCAGAGAAAAATCCACGCGACCACGGGGGGAGAAAGAGAGAGACGTGCAAACTCCACAAACAGAGGTTGCCCGAGTCGGGAATTAAACACATGCTCTTCTTGCTTTGAGGCACAAATGTCACCACTGCACCACCCTGCCCCCCCACCCCACCCCGCCACCACCCAATATCTGCAGCAACTGAGCAGCTTTGAGGACAAGGAGAGGGCCAAGATCTCTCAGTACGTGAAGGGCAAGAAGGTGTGGATCGGCATCAAGAAGCTTCTCACGCTCATCGAGATGGCCATGCAGGTTCGTGTGACCCCTGCCCCCCCCGCATTGCCATTGTCATTTCCGTGTTTGCGTCATGATCAGGTTTGTCGTAGGCACCCAATTGAGTAGTTACGGTGGCACGCAATCACCTGCTCTTTTCAATTAATGTCCACTGTGAAGCAGACGGCGCGTAGTACAGGGACTCCTTTACTTACAAACGAGTTACGTTCCAGAGGTCTGTTCACAAGTCGATTTGTTCACAAGGCCAACTTGACTCCCGTCGAATCCAAACATGTGGTACGGCATGTACACTAAACACAACGGATTTAAAAGTTGTATGATCTGCTGTACATGTAGATTCCACTGGTTCTTCATGTTCTGCAGATGTAGATGCCACTGGTTCTTCACGTTCTGCAGATGTAGATGCCACCGGTTCTTCATGTTCTGCAGATGTAGATGCCACTAGTTCTTCACGTTCTGCAGATATAGATGCTGCTGGTTCTTTATTTTCTGCAGATGTAGATGCCACTAGTTCTTCATGTTCTGCAGATGTAGATGCCACCGGTTCTTCACGTTCTGCAGATGTAGATGCCACTGGTTCTTCATGTTCTGCAGATGTAGATGGCACCGGTTCTTCATGTTCTGTAGATGTAGATGCCACCGGTTCTTCATGTTCTGCATATGTAGATGCCACCGGTTCTTCACTTTCTGCAGATGTAGATGCCACGGGTTCTTCATGTTCTGCAGATGTAGATGCCGCTGGTTCTTCATGTTCTGCAGATGTAGATGCCACCGGTTCTTCACGTTCTGCAGATGTAGATGCCACCGGTTCTTCATGTTCTGCAGATGTAGATGCCGCTGGTTCTTCATGTTCTGCAGATGTAGATGCCGCTGGTTCTTCATGTTCTGCAGATGTAGATGCCACCGGTTCTTCATGTTCTGCATATGTAGATGCCACCGGTTCTTCACGTTCTGCAGATGTAGATGCTACCGGTTCTTCATGTTCTGCAGATGTAGATGCCACTGGTTCTTCACGTTCTGCAGATGTAGATGCCACTGGTTCTTCACGTTCTGCAGATGTAGATGCCGCTGGTTCTTCACGTTCTGCAGATGTAGATGCCACCGGTTCTTCACGTTCTGCAGATGTAGATGCCACTGGTTCTTCACGTTCTGCAGATGTAGATGCCACTGGTTCTTCATGTTCTGCAGATGTAGATGCCACTGGTTCTTCACTTTCTGCAGATGTAGATGCCACCGGTTCTTCACGTTCTGCAGATGTAGATGCCACCGGTTCTTCACGTTCTGCAGATGTAGATGCCACTAGTTCTTCACTTTCTGCAGATGTAGATGCCACCGGTTCTTCACGTTCTGCAGATGTAGATGCCACCGGTTCTTCACGTTCTGCAGATGTAGATGCCACTGGTTCTTCATGTTCTGCAGATGTAGATGCCACTGGTTCTTCATGTTCTGCAGATGTAGATGCCACTGGTTCTTCATGTTCTGCAGATGTAGATGCCACTAGTTCTTCATGTTCTGCAGATGTAGATGCCACTGGTTCTTCATGTTCTGCAGATATAGATGCCACTGGTTCTTCATGTTCTGCAGATGTAGATGCCACCGGTTCTTCATGTTCTGCAGATGTAGATGCCACTGGTTCTTCATGTTCTGCAGATATAGATGCCACCGGTTCTTCATGTTCTGCAGATGTAGATGCCACTGGTTCTTCATGTTCTGCAGATGTAGATGCCACTGGTTCTTCATGTTCTGCAGATGTAGATGCCACTGGTTCTTCATGTTCTGCAGATGTAGATGCCACTGGTTCTTCATGTTCTGCAGATGTAGATGCCACTGGTTCTTCATGTTCTGCAGATGTAGATGCCACTGGTTCTTCATGTTCTGCAGATGTAGATGCCACTAGTTCTTCATGTTCTGCAGATGTAGATGCCACTGGTTCTTCATGTTCTGCAGATGTAGATGCCACTGGTTCTTCATGTTCTGCAGATGTAGATGCCACTGGTTCTTCATGTTCTGCAGATGTAGATGCCACTAGTTCTTCATGTTCTGCAGATGTAGATGCCACCGGTTCTTCATGTTCTGCAGATGTAGATGCCACTGGTTCTTCATGTTCTGCAGATGTAGATGCCACTGGTTCTTCATGTTCTGCAGATGTAGATGCCACTGGTTCTTCATGTTCTGCAGTTGTAGATGCCACTGGTTCATCATGTTCTGAAGATGTAGATGCCACTGGTTCATCATGTTCTGAAGATGTAGATGCCACTGGTTCTTCATGTTCTGCAGATGTAGATGCCACTAATTCTTCACGTTCTGCAGATGTAGATGCCACTGGTTCTTTATTTTCTGCAGATGTAGATGCCACCGGTTCTTCATGTTCTGAAGATGTAGATGCCACTGGTTCATCATGTTCTGAAGATGTAGATGCCACTGGTTCTTCATGTTCTGCAGATGTAGATGCCACTAATTCTTCACGTTCTGCAGATGTAGATGCCGCTGGTTCTTTATTTTCTGCAGATGTAGATGCCACTGGTTCTTCATGTTCTGCAGATGTAGATGGCACCGGTTCTTCACGTTCTGCAGATGTAGATGCCACTGGTTCTTCATGTTCTGCAGATGTAGATGCCACTAGTTCTTCATGTTCTGCAGATGTAGATGCCACCGGTTCTTCATGTTCTGTAGATGTAGATGCCACTAGTTCTTCATGTTCTGCAGATGTAGATGCTAATTCCCTTTGGTGCTCGTGTCTCCTCTCTGCTCTCTTGAAAAACTTACCAAGAGATGTTTGGTTAATATAACACACTGCGGTGTTAACCAGGGCGGCCTGGCACATTCTAAACGCGAATCAACAATCGGCGAACGCACTTCCGCCGTGCCGCGTCACCGCCCATTGATATTGACATTGCTCCGGCCTCGTGTCTTTGTCTCTCTGTGTCTCTCTGTGTCTCCCTCTGTGTCTCCCTCTGTGTACCCTTGCAGACTGAGCCACACCTCCGCGTGAGCAAGTTCCTGTGCCTAATGGAGGAGGACGGAGGGTACGTATGTTAACACCTCACCACAATGAGCGTTGCTTGAACTCTCAATGCGCTTTGTATGGAGTGGCCCTTTTGTTGTCAATCCACTGCTGGATGAGGAGCCCCCCTTCCCCATGCCCGGTCCGCTTGGGTTGTTGCAGTGGGGAGGGGAGCACAGATGCTGAAGCATAGAAGTGAGGTACAACGATACATATCGGTGGCATGTTCGCACGCTGTGCGAACATGCCACCGATATGTAAACATCGATTGTGACTCGTAATCAGAATTATTACTATTACCATAGTAATAATAATCACTCTCGTCATTACTACTGCTGCTGTTGTTGTTGTTGCCACAGGTTGCAGGAATCGTGAGATGGGAGGCACGGCGCGGGAACGAGCGTGACGATCGCCCACCCACCCCACTCATTCCCACCCCACTCACCCACACCCCACTCACCCACCACTCTCAGCCACTCCTCTCACTCCCACCCGACTCACTCACCCACACCACTCACTCCCACCCCACTAACCCACCCCCACTCACCCATCCTAATCACCCACGCACCACTCTCCCCCCCTCCCCCATACGCTGTCCCAGCCATAGGCACACCCAGGGGTGGGGTAATAGGGGTAGTTGCGTGACTGTGCGTACGTATCTACTTGTGTTTTTAATTTATGGGGAGCGGTGGCACAGTGGTTGTTGCGCTACGCTTCGATTCTCGCTGAGAGCCAACATCGGTGACATTTATCTGAACCGGCCCTGGGCCTTCCCCAGGTAGTTTCAGACTCAAATGAGGACCAGCTGTGGTGTATAAACATTGCCCGTAGGAAGACGAAGGCTGTCGGGCATGCTGCTGGTCCACTCACCTTGGTGTGCCATGCCGGACATTATCGGGTGCTCGCTAGCAGCACTTTAAAGGCTATAGGTGGAAGGGGGGGGGGGGATCTTTCTGTCATGCGTGGGGAGCGGTAGCGTAGCGGCCGACACACTGGGTGGTGCAGTGGCTGTCGCGTGCCCACGTACATCCTTGGCAGCAACACAACCCACTCCCACGCGCGTAATTAGTTTACTGGGTGCGCATCTCTCCGACACTCCCGCACGCGACACCGCATCGTGTATGTGTGTGTGTTGAACTTATTTCGCACCGTACATAGCCAGCCGCGCTAATCGGATGTGCATTGGTACCTCGGCCTGCGCCCCAGTCACAGCTCACGTCGTCATGCACGCTCTCCTCAAACGCACATGCGCACAAACGCACAAACGTGTACGGCTCGTATCCTCGCCACAGCAACGCGCGCGCGTGTACGACCGTTAGGGCTGCGACTAAACGGCGCGAGGTTTGCACGGCGGTGTCGTCGCTCGACGCAATGCGGTTGTCCGCGTCGCTCCGTTCTGAATAGTTTTTGAGTGTCCACTCTTGCGTGTTTGCAACATGCGCTCGCGCGACCCCATTGGCCGGATGGGAGGTGGCGTCGTCTCACCCCCGCGCGTAGCTGCGCGTGGCGATTCATCTCTGAAAGTGCGGGCCGTCGTTTGAGTTTTTCACAGCTCTCGTCCGCGTGCAACGAAGTCGCTCCGCCGCATCCCGCGGGACCCAAGTTCGCCACCCGGGTCGCCCGCTGTCCCGTTTCGCCGCCCGGCTTCGGAGACGTCCTCGCTTGTTCGTGATCTTGCCGCTCGCACCCCCCCGGGGCCCCTGGTCGCACGCCGCTTCCCCCGGGATCGCTCGAAACAACAACAACAACACAGGCTCCAGATCGCTCGCCCCGATTTGTTTTCCTTCCGGTATTGAGGCGGCTCTCCCCCCTGGGAGTACCCCCTAGCGCCGCTCGCGCCTTCAGCCGGGCACCTGCGCAGCCCCCGTGGGTCGTCATTTCGAAAACCCCCCCCGGCTGATCGCTCGACCCTATTCGCTGTATCGTCGGGCTCTCGCAAACTGGCCGGCGAATGTTCTTAACATTCCTTTTCCTCGCGGGTCCGATGCCGCTCGCCCTCTCGCGCCCTTTTAAAGTGGGTGCGGAACGCCGGGGCCCGGTTCAAGACTCTGCTTCAAACCTGACGGGAGCGACGTGCAATTGGTCTTTGCGGTTTTCGGCGGACCCTGGCAGCAACGGGCCGATGTCAACTCCCAGCCACTTTTTAAACTACGTGTGTGTGTGTGCGTGCGCTTATATATATGTGCAATATGTAGCATCTCACCTGCTCACCTTGAAGCATTTCGGTGCGTTGTATACGTTCGCCGGACTGCCCACAGGGCGGTAGCATGTACCTCCATGGCAAGCGTACATCCGCTGCGACTGATGACTCGATTGGCCAAAGCTCGGTTGTTTAGTTGACTGCGTTGGTTGTCGATGGCAAGACAGCAACAGTGTGTACATATGTCACGGTCTTTTAACCAGACGTGACGTCCGAGAACCCGTCGCCACAAGTCAGCGCAGATCTCATGTGTTAGGCCCAAGTGACGAGGTGAGGGTTCTTCTGGATGGGATTTGACGAGGGTTGGTGAGATTTGAGGGCTCCCGTTTCGGATTGGCCGGCAACAATATCAGCCAAAAGTAACATTACACAAACACGCATCACCGTTCAAGTCTTCACAAAGCGTAGAGGGTTCTGTATTGGATAGGGGAGGGGGGGAGCAGGGGTTAAAGTTATCTTATCGGATTTGGTTGTGGCTTCTGTGTTGAATGTGACCATGGTTCTTTATTGTATGAAATGGAAGAGTCTGTGCTGGATGTGACGAGGGTTCTGTATTGGACAGGCTAGCTCGAGGCGACAAGCTGTGTGGGTGGTAATTCAACTGCAGACCATAAACCCCAACTCTCACAAATCACCATCTCCGATTAGGTGTTGATTTTTTGTTGTTGACCTATACCGACAAATATTCTACCAAAACGAGCGGCTTTAATAGACTCGATTATAATAAATAAGTATATATAAATACATATATAGAGAGATGAAACATGTCATTTTGGCCATTAAATCAAAGTTGGTGAACAAATTGCTTGCTGCTTAGTCCGTCCCTCGACATTTCTCGAGACTTTAACCCCCCCAACCTCCACGGGTTTTGCCGGGTCACGTGTCCAACTCTCCCCCCCTCGCTCCCGGGTCACGTGACCAACTCGCTCCCGGGTCACGTGTCCAACTCGCCTCCCTCGCTCCCGGGTCACGTGTCCAACTCGCTCCCGGGTCACGTGACCAACTCGTCACCTCTCGCTCCCGGATCACGTGTCCAACTCGCTCCCGAGTCACGTGACCAACTCGTCACCCCTCGCTCCCGGGCCACGTGTCCAACTCGCTCCCGGGTCACGTGACCAACTCGTCACCCCTAGCTCCCGGGTCACGTGTCCAACTCGCTCCCGGGTCACGTGTCCAACTCGTCACCCCTAGCTCCCGGGCCACGTGTCCAACTCGCTCCCGGGTCACGTGACCAACTCGTCACCCCTAGCTCCCGGGTCACGTGTCCCACTCGCTCCCGGGTCACGTGTCCAACTCGTCACCCCTAGCTCCCGGGCCACGTGTCCAACTCGCTCCCGGGTCACGTGACCAACTCGTCACCCCTAGCTCCCGGGCCACGTGTCCAACTCGCTCCCGGGTCACGTGACCAACTCGTCACCCCTAGCTCCCGGGCCACGTGTCCAACTCGCTCCCGGGTCACGTGTCCAACTCGTCACCCCTAGCTCCCGGGTCACGTGCCGTGCTGAGTGACGGCGCCCAACAGCCCATGGAGCCAAGCGACCAGCGACAATCGGCGCTGTTGACGGTGTAATAGATTGTCGAGTTTAGGCCTTGTTTGGCTTGTGATGTATTTTTATTTCATTTTTTCTTCACCCCCTCCCGCCCCCACACAGTGTCATTCCTGAGTGTACATCCCACCCGTACGCGTGTGTGTGTGCGCACCGCTGCAGGTGGCACAGACTAAGTTTTGAGGCTTAATTTAATACCCATGTGTCCCCCACGTGTACAGACAGTGGTGTGAGTGTTGTGGTGGTGGTGGCGCTTCTGTTTTGCGAGTCCGGCGCGTGCTATGATCGTCGCTTCCAGTTGCTTTTATCGGGTGACGAATCGTGCGCTGCTCCTTACCGTCCCGTCTTGGCTGTGATCCGATTTTTTGAACAAGGCGATTTGCTTTACGGATATATATTACGTGTAGAAACAAAAATATGGCTCCGAGTTGTCGATTGTAGCACTGCTGTCGTTCGGCGTTGTCTTCTGTGACGTGCTATTGATTTTGTGATGCAGAAATAAAAGTACAAAAAAATAAGCTTGCAGTGCAAAGATGAGCAATGCCATCCACCCATAAGGTATCCATCACTTCACCTCCACTCATCTGGTACGGACGGTCAACGACCATACCTGGGTGATGCCATCGACCCATAGGTCCCATCACGACACCTCCACTCATCTGGTACGGACGGTGAGCCACCATACCTGGGTGATACCATCGACCCATAGGTCCCATCACAACACCTTTCATCTGGTACGGACGGTCAACTACCATACCTGGGTGATGCCATCGACCCATAGGTCCCATCACCAAACATACGCTCATCTGGTATGGAGCTGCTGCTGCTGTGTGAAATCCACGCGGCTTCGGACAGCGGAACGAAGCTTCCCATCTTAAGTCCTCGCGGTGGTCTGGAACGGTCTCTTGCCGACTGAAGTCCACTCAGCCCGTGACAATCGGTGAATTTAAAACCGGACTAAATCCCCCCCCCCCCACCACCAATTGTCAGAACATGATCAATGAACAGAAGCTCCGTCCGTCACTCTGCTGTCCGGATACGGAACTGCCTCCCTTGATTACACATTGAAGGCGAAATCACCGATTCTGAGTCTTCAGGCCTTCAAACGCCGAGCTCGCAACATGGACATCTCCTAGCGTCACCACGCGCCTTGTAGGACCGCCGAGTAGTTGAGCTGCAGTAGAGCAATGGTTATGACGATTAGATGTACTCAATTGCATCAAAATAAAAAAAGAGATGTATCTTCCGGCTCAGTACACTGGGAACGCCTGAGAATTCCCCATGGAGAGCTAGAGTCTGCGTATAGTAGTGTATAGTGTATAGCCGTGTTTCCTGTAGTGTACAGTAGTGTATAGTGTATTGTAGTGTAGTAGTGCTCGAGTCTGTCACCAGGGAAAGGGAGGTGTGGACCGCCCCGACTCAACACGCTGCTGCCGCGACCCTCACCAGGGACCCGCGGACTGAGAAACGAACCCACGAACAGTTCCTGTGGGCCCTCCGCGCTTGCTTCTCAGCTTGTTGCTGAAGACGGCTACAAATCTCGCATTGATTGCGGTGCCACGTGAAACACCTCGCGGTGCACGCAGGGTATTGAACAATAGCTTAGGCTTCTAGATTTGAAGCTTTTTTGACTGCAAGGATTCATATTCTTAGGTTGTTTCGGTAAAGTCACGTAGGTAAAACATTCAAATTAATAAAAGTAAAATAAAATAAAAATCACGACGTTTCGGAGGCAACACAAGCTTCCGTCTTCAGGTGGAACCGTCACAGCCACGACAGCTGTATCAATTAAGCTTAGGCATCAGCAGAACAGCGTAACGGAGAGATGCGTCCTTGGAATAACTTCGAGAGAAGGGTCACGATGCAGTTGCGAAACTGGAGACATCACGTTGACCGTGAGGAAAAGTGAGATAATGTATGCGCTGTGAAGAAGGCCCGTTGCCTAAAACGTTGCCTATTGTATATATTTTTTTTATTTCAAGCCCCGCAGTGTTTTTAAGGAATGTGTGTGTGTAGGGGAGATGGGTTTATCTTATTTGGGGAGCGGTAGTGTTGCGGTTAGTGCCGCTGCGCTACGAACCTGGCGGCCCGAGTTCGATTCCCGCTCAGGGCCAACACCAGTGGTGACGATTGTCTGAACCGGTCCTGGGCCTCCCCTAGGTCGACTCAGCCTCACATGAGTACCTGGTGCGGTGTGTAAACATCGCCACGTGGTGCTGGCCACCCGCACCCATTGTGTGCCACAGTGTCGGCTTTCATAGGTGCCACTCGCTTTGTGTTTGTTATTTTTTTCCATTATTAACCGTGTCAAATGCAAGTTGCAGCATCGCCAAAGAATGTTTGGTTTTCATAAAATGGCACGGGCTTGGATTGGACGCGTCGTTCGGCAGGGGTTGATGCCCCGGGGTGGGTGGCGATGTTGGTGATGGGGATGGAAGTCGAAATTGGGATTCGTCTTGGAGAGAGAGAGAGAATCGGTGGGGTCACCCCCTCGGAGATGGAGCGTCCCGAGTCCGTCTCTTGGTGTGGGGCAGGAGGCTCTTCATCCAGCAGTGGATTGACCAGAGGTCTGCACATGTGATACTGTATGTTCAATGTATGCGGTACTGAGTGCATTACACGATGTAACACGATTTGTGTCGCTGGGTAGTAATTGTTCTTTTTTTATTGCTTATGCCTCAAAAGTATAGAAAATGGCTATTATTCCCCACAAACTTTGCTTTTGTGACCAGGACTTTACGTGAAGGAATGACACAAATACACACGTTTTCTCATTGCAAAAGTAGGTAAATTTCAGAATATCACTGTCCTGGTCACAAAAGCAAAGTTTGTGGGTGATAATAGCCATTTTCTGTACTGTTGAGGCATAAGCAATTAGGAAATAACACTGACCACCCAGGGACAAAATTCTTTTTTTTTCTTCCACAGTGCTATCACAGAGTTGCCCTTTTTGTGAGTCCGCTGTTGGATGAGGGGCACATGCCCATCCACGCCGTGCGGGGTGCGTTGTCGCGTGGGTGGGTGGGTGGTGGTGGTGGTGTTATTTGGTGTGGTGTGGGTGGGTGGTGGTGGTGGTGGTGTTATTTGGTGTGGGTGGGTGGTGGTGGTGGTGTTATTTGGTGTGGTGTGGGTGGGTGGTGGTGGTGGTGGTGTTATTTGGTGTGGGTGGGTGGTGGTGTTCTTTGGTGTGGGTGGGTGGGTGGTGGTGGTGTTATTTGGTGTGGTGTGGGTGGGTGGTGGTGGTGGTGTTATTTGGTGTGGGTGGGTGGTGGTGGTGGTGGTGTTATTTGGTGTGGTGTGGGTGGGTGGTGGTGGTGGTGTTATTTGGTGTGGGTGGGTGGTGGTGGTGGTGGTGTTATTTGGTGTGGGTGGGTGGTGGTGGTGTTATTTGGTGTGGCGTGGGTGGGTGGTGGTGGTGGTGGTGTTATTTGGTGGGGGTGGTGGTGGTGGTGTTATTTGGTGTGGGTGGGTGGTGGTGGTGTTATTTGGGGTGGGTGGGTGGTGATGGTGGTGGTGTTATTTAGTGTGGGTGGGTGGTGGTGGTGTTATTTGGTGTGGGTGGGTGGTGGTGGTGTTATTTGGTGTGGGTGGGTGGTGGTGGTGGTGGTGGTGGTGTTATTTGACCAAACTCCACCACGCTGTTTAATTGCCGTGGCACCTTCTCAGAACGCGACGACCCGCAGTGTTTATGGTCATCTGCACGTCGCGAACGAACGTGCCGCCAACGTTCTACGACGACGACGACAAAAACACAATTCAAACGGTGGGTACAACACGTTCACTTTTATCGTTAACGTCGTTATCGTCTAACCTTTTATCTTAAAAAAAAAAAACGTGCAATTATTTATTTCTGCACTCGTGTTAATAGAAAGCGGCTCTCTCTCCTCTCTCTCTCTCTGCGTCGATGTTCCGCCAGCTCGCGGAGACGGCGACGTTGACCACCTCGCGACCCCACGCGCGCATCTCGTCTCGACAGAGCCCTTGGCCCTTTCTTGTCTTGCGTGGCCCCCCCTCTCCCCCCACCCCTTTTTTTTAAACGCATATATATACATTATGTTCAATAAATACGTGCTTTTATTATAGAGGTTTTAGGACATAACACATTAACAATTAAGTAAACGCTACCAACTAGACACATTTAGCAGTGGAGTTTTGCTGTTCTCTCTCTCAGGCCGGTTGGGGGGGGGTGGAAGGTGAGTGGGGGGGGGGGGGTCAGAGTGCGAGGCCCCGCGAGGGTGAAAGGTCACGAGTTCACATCCTGACCGAGGAGGGCGGGCGGCAAGGTGCGGACCGATCATAACCCTCCGTGGCACCGCTTTAGAAGATGTCTCACGGGCGGGTTCGACCTCCCACCCACCCACCCCCTGTCCCTTCACGCCACACTAACGTGGAATGTCCTCCGCTGGTTCGGCCGTCAAATGGAGCCGCCGGCCAAACCCGGCATGAAGAGTTTCGGGAGGAGTTGGGAATGGAGCGTCGTTTGTCGAGGTCTCTTGGAGTAAAACTCCGGGGCATTCTCAATGTGACGGTGAACGGAAGTCATCAGATGTCAGTGAGAGTGAACAGGAGGTGGATTCCAATGACAGTGAATAGGAGATCGCTTAAGAGATATCAATTGGGTTCACTTTAACAAATCTCAATAAGAGTCCAATGGGGGTCACTTCATAGATCTCTATGCAAGTGGACAGGAGGTTACTTTAAATAAGAGACATTTGAAAATAAACGGCGCTCACTGCAAGCTATGTATATATATGGAGAACGATGAGTGTGTTAACTGCAGGCGCTCGAATGAACCGGTGTCTTATTAAGGCAGCGAATGGGAAGGTGACGTCCTCAGATTTCTGGACAAAGTATCGAGAAATTAAAGATGTAGGTCTCCACGAAAGATTAACAGCAACGAGAACATCTCTGCAAAGGCGAAGCGATCTTCGGTGAAAGTAAATCCACGGTTTGCTGAAGGGATTTCTGTAAAAATCGATCCAGGAACTTTATTGGACAGATCTCTATGAAGAAACTGGAGGTCTCTAGAGAAACCAGCGCCTGGCACAACGGTGGCAGTGGCCGTTGGTGTGAATGACGACGACGACGATGATGATGAGGATGATGATTCTCATGATTGTTAGAATGAAGGTGAGAGTACTTGTGGTGGCAGCGGTAATGATGGTGATGATGGCAGTGGTGATGAAGACGGCGATGATGATTATAATGATAATGGTGGCAGTGGTAGTAATGATGATGATGGCAATGGTGATGAAGATGGTGATGATGGTTGTAATGATGATGATGGCAGTAGTAATGATGATGACGATGGCAGTGGTGGTGATGATGATGATGACAGTGGTGGTGATGATGATGATGATGCTGATGACAACGGTGGAATGAGTGGCGGTAGAGATTGTGACATCTGTATTGGTGTTAATGACAGCGGTAATGATAATAACGATGATCGTCACACATCGCGGTCGGCTACGTACGGCGTGAAAGAAGTTCAACATACATCGTTTTCAGTCACAATTGCGGCGACGACGACGACGACGATGATGGCGGAGGCGGCGGCGGCGGCGGTGACAATGGTGACGACGTTGCCAACAACAGCTTCGGTATCCATCACGCCGCCATCGGCCGTCCCAACCAGCAACAGCGGGCAACCCTTCGCGTGACGAAACCTCCTTGGCGCTCACCTCGGCGCCTCCAAACCTCAACCGCCGCTCCGTGGGGCACCGTCGCCAAGAATTACTTTAGCGCAGAGATCTTCACTCATTCTCAGGAGGGGCTGGGGAGGGGGCGAAGGGGCCGCACCGCACATTTGAAACCGCTGAGGGTTTGACAGCAGCACGATAATGATGATGGTGGAGGGCTGATTTCACCATCTGTGTACTGACGAAGGGGCCGCACTCAAGGCCACGCAAGGGGGCCCCAGTGGGCCCGCGCGGGCGGGGGGGGAGGCTGCAATGAGGAAAGGCCACTCGGGGCACAGGTTGGTCTCCGCGCTATTCTCGTGGGGCGGCAAGGGGGGAGCGGGAATGCTGCAAGACGCGGGGGGGGGGGGGTAGGGGGGTGCTGCTGCGTTGCAGACGAGACGGACGTAGTCCGAGTGTGCCCACCGAGACAGCGACGTCGCTCCGTATTTATTAGGGGGTGGGGGTTCCCAAACATCGAAAAGGTAATTTTTTTTCGGCTGTACATTTAAAAAAAAAATTCATTTTTCCTTTCCTCCCCTCTCTCTGCCCAAATGTGTGGACCGCGCACTCCGCCCGGCACGCGGTGACCTCCTCACGCTCCCTCCTCGTTTTAGAACGACGACTCCACGGCGTCTCTTCACCTCCAACTGCGACGCAGTGGGCGCCGTTGCACTCATGCGGTTAACACAAAGATACAAATACCCCCACCCCCCGTATAGCCTTAACAGACTGTTGGGGCAAGTGCTGTTAGCGAGTGGCACCTATGAAGGACGGCACGGCGCACGAGGGGGTGGGCGGCCAACACCGCGCGCGGCCGCCTTTGTCTCCCCCAGTGGCAGCTGATTTTACACACCGCACCAGGTACGGTTAACGCACGACCACACACACACACACACGTATGCACCGAGCAGTATTAACCGGGGTGGCCCGTTGAAACCGAACCGCGCACCTCCGCAACACGCCGTGAACACCGCTACCTTTGCCCCCCCCCCCATCCCCCAGACATCTACTTGCACGTGTGCACGTCGTAGACGCGCGTGCACTCCTGGCAGCTCACGTAGCAGCACCAGTGGAAGGCGCATCGGCACTTGTCCCTGCGCCTCTCGGTGCGCGTGTTGTGCCCGCGGCCGCAGCACAGGAGGTCGCAGCCGTCGATGCCGTGCGAGGTGAGGTTGCAGGCGCGGTCGCGCGTGCCGAACGAGCCCGTCTCCGGGTCGGGCTCGCAGAAGTTTGGCGACGTCTCGTAGTAGACCAGGTCGCCGTCGGTGGGCGGCTTGAAGAGGGGGTACTTTGGCCGCAGCGTCTCGACCCAGCCGCGCGACTCGCGGTGGCGCTCCACCAGCATCTCGGAGGCGCTGTCGTACTTGTCCTTGAGGTGGTCGCCGAGCGCACGGAAGTCGGGCTGCGCGCCCCAGCAAGTCTTCACCTCGCAGCTGCCCGATAGGCCGTGGCACTTGCACTTGAGCTGCATGTGCTCCAGGATCGACTGGGGGTGGAGGGGAGTGGGAAGGGAAGGGAACCAGTGGCGTGTATGTCACTTGGCGAGCGCGCGGTGCGGTCGTGGTGTAGTCGTGGTGTAGTTGTGGTTAATTCTAGATTTGAAGCTTTCGTGACTGCAAGGATTCATACTCTTAGGTTTTTTCGGTAAAGTCACGTAGGTAAAAAAATATAAATAAAATTAATAAAAAATAATTATTTTACTTTTAGTAATTTTTTATTTTAATTAATAAAAAAATAATTATTTTACTTTTATTAATTTTATTTTTTAGCTACGTGACTTTACCGAAAAAACCTAAGAGTATGAATAGTTGTGGTGAGCCACTGCCTCTGCTGCTGCTGCTGCTATGAACCTGGCGACCCGCGCTGAGCCACCACGAGTTCGATTCACGTTCGCGACCAACGCCAGTGACGGCTATCGGAACCGGCCGTGGGCATCGCCTAGGTCGACTCAGCCGCAAATGAGTACCCGGTGGAACAGTGTGTAGCAAACATCGCTACTGGGGGAGACAAAGGCGGCCGGGCGTGGTGCTAGCCAACCCACCACCCCCTCGTGTGCGGGTGCCGGCCTTCACAGGTTGCTACTCGCTAAAAGCACTTGCCCCGACAGTCTGTGAAGACTATACGGTGGATCTCTGTCTCTGTAGTGACTCCGTTATCGGCTCAGCGGCGGTGCGGCAATTGGTCCGGGTGGGCCCCCCCCATGGGCCCCCCCATGGGCCCCCCCATGGGCCCCCCCCCAATATTTGATGGGCCCCCCCACCAATATTTGATTTGTCTCGCACGGTCGCACCCTAGAGGCGATTCTAAATCGCGGGGCTTCTTGGCTAATCGCATCGGGACGTGAGTTTGTTGTTAATTTCCACTGCTGTTGAAAACAAATCTCATGGTTGGCTGTCAAGGGGAGGCCCCCCCCCCAACTCGTAGCTTTGGCCACGCCCGTTACGCTACCGGGAAGGAATGGAGGGATGTAACATGTCGTCACTGGAGGTGGTGAGTGGAGTAAACTAAGGATCAATATGTGATCAATATCGATTTTTATATAAAACGCTGGTAAATATGAATCAATAGCGACAACTCTATGAAACTTGGAGCCAATTAATGATCAATAATTACTTATAGGAAACTAATGCTCACTCAATAGGGGATCAATAAACAGATGTAGGGCACTTCGATCAATATATGATCAGTATCCACCTACACCAAAACTATTGATCAATAGGAGATTAAATACAGATTTAGGGCACTTGGTATGAATAGGTGATCAATATGAATCTACACGAAACTCAGCAGGGGCTCAATAGTCCAATGGTGGTGATGAGGTGCTCAATATTTTCACGTGCAGTAGTGGGGTGGGTGTGTGGAGCTTGTGATCAATATTGATCAGGTGCAGCGGTAGTTACAGTGGTAGCGGAAGTGGATGTGTGGGGGTTTTGATCAATATTGATCAGTGCGGTAGTGGCGGTGGCGATCTGGGGCACGTGATCAATATTGATCAGTGCGACGGTAGTGGTCGGCGTTTGTGTGGTGCTCGCGATCAATATTGATCAGTGCGGCGGTAGTGGTCGGCGTTTGTGTGGTGCTCGTGATCAATATCGATCAGTGCGACAGTATCGCACCAGGCGGCCGGCCTCGTTGTTGTGCCGGTTCATGGCGGAGCGCGCGTCGGGCCGATTCTCGCGCGCGTCCGCAAACTCTCGCGACACCATCACCCCGAAGTCGGCGTCCTCGCTGCAGCCCCCCCACTTCCAGCCCTCCCCGGGGGGCCCGCGGTGCTTTGTGTCGCAGCCGCAGATGGCGGAGGCACCCTCGGCGCACGCCCGAGTCACCGCGTAGCCCACGCCGGCCGAGGCGATGGCGTGCACGAAGGCCGACTCGCGTGTCGCTGCGGCGAATTGGGGTTGTTAGGGGCAGGGCGTAGGGGAAGGAACACAGCGTTGGTGTACGGTGCTTTTTCTGCAATATATTTTGCTGTCTTTTCTTGGATTTTCTGTTTGCACTTAGTCACTTTAAGAGGTTTGTTTGTTCATGTTTTTGTTTTTTAAATCCTTTATATTAAGTTCGCTTGCTTGCTTAGGACCGTGTAAATATTTCGGTCGTTTTTTAACCCACTTCCCGTGATCCAATCGAGCTGACATTTTGCACACAGACTCGTTGTGCGTGACAATGCATTTTCGTGAAAAACAATTTCCAAAATTTGACACTGTTTAGGGAAATTTTTTAAAATATTTAATTACCAATTGTTTAATGCTGCCAGACAATCATCTTTTTTTGTTTTTACGGGTTAATTTTTGTTTGTTGCGGTTGCACCCGATTCAAGAGCCGAATGGCTCACAGGGCTATACTTAATGCATGAACTTGAACTTGAACAGAGATGTCGCACGTGCGCGCGTGTTTTGCCACAATCGGGATCGGCGTGTTTATTTTATGGCGGAGGAATCCGACGAGCTATGAAGCTCTTTCTTTCAAGGGGATGTCCAGTGGTCGCGTGTCTATTCCCGTGTCCGTCCGTTCGTCTTTACATTCCATCGGTCTTTCCTAATTCCATTCATCCGTCCATTTATTCATAAAATCCATCGTCCGTCAATCCATCCGTTCACCCGTCCATCCTTTAATCCATCCATACATAGCGCTACATAGAGCCTCACGGAGACATACAGAGAGATACATAGAGCCTCACGGAGACATACAGAGAGACACATAGATATTCATAAAGATAGACTAAAGATAGAATGCGGAACAGCGACACGACAGGAGCTCAATCTTTGCTGAAGCCCTCTCGCCATGGGCAACAGCGGAATTCCTCACCTCTCATCATCATCACCCTCTCATCATCATCACCCTCTCATCATCATCATCACCCTCTCATCATCCCCGACATCGTGACCCGGTCATTCCTTCTCCACGCCCTCCCGAACTGTCCTGCCTTTCCGTTGATTTTAAAATCATCGTCTTCATCATCTTATTATAATTATTTCCCATTCTCTCCCTTCGCGCTTCCCTTTCCCATGCCTTCCTCTCTTTCCCAGAGCCGTCTATAGGGGGCAAGTCTTACATCCGACATCGTGACGTAGAATCGTGGGCCACAACCCCCCCCCCCCCCCAAAGTGCGGGGCTCGGGGCAGTCGCCCAGATTGGCCGTACCCTGCCCCCTTCCCGCGGTTTTTAGTTTCAGTTTCATTTATTAGGTATAGCCCTGTGAGCCATTCGGCTCTTGAATCGGGTGCAACCGCAACAAACAAAAAATCTAAAATATGAACAAGAAAACATCTTAAAGTTACTATGCGCAAACAGAAAAATCCAGGAAAAAACTGCAAAGTCTTCCAGAAAAAAAAGCACCGTACACCAACGCTGTGTGCAAAAATCCCAGTGGGATGCAAGTCAAACAACAACAACCACAAGACAACTTAGATTAAAGCCATCATTCTAACTCCGTACTACAACAAACAAACATGGCCAAACCAAAAAAGGTGAATAGATGCAGAGCTATGTAATAAATATCTATACATTGAACTTCTTTCGCACCGTACTTAGCCAACCGTGCTCATCGGAGAGCTTAAAAAAACAACGCAGAGACAAGGAAACTGACTGGCGATGGTCATGAACGCCTTGGCCTATCAGGACCCTGCTGGTACAGGAGTCTTCAGACGCAGTGCGGCCTTCACGGGGTAAATCAGTCGTCGTTGTTGTTGTGATTCATGCACGACCAAAAACAACCAGGTCCGTTGTGGGGCCCTGTTTGTGTGAGGCTGGCGGGGGGGGGGAGCCCCCTCTAAGTCTGGCCCAGGTGTGTGTCCTCTCCCCCTCCTCCCGCACCTCCCCCACCTCCTCACCCCCACCTACTCACCCCTCCCTCACCTACTCCCTCCCTCCCCACCTCCCCCCTTCCTCCCTCACCTCCCCCCCTCCCTCACCTCCCCCCCTCCCTCACCTCCCCCCCTCCCTCCCCCACCTCCCCCCCTCCCTCCCCCACCTCCCCCTTTCTCTCCCTCACCTCCCCCCTCCCTCACCTCCCCCCCCCCTCCCTCCCCCACCTCCCTCCCCCACCACCCCCCACCAACCCCCTCCTCCGCCCTCCCCCCCTCCCTCCCTCCCCCACCTCCCCCCCCTCCCCACCCCCCCCACCTCCCCCCCTCCCCCACCCCCCACCTCCCTCCCCCACATCCTCCCTCCCCCCTCCCCCACCCCCCCCACCTCCCCCCTTCCTCCCCTCCCTCCCCCCATCCACACCCTCCCTCCCCCCATCCCCCTACCTCCCCCCCTCCCCCACCCCCCCACCTCCCCCCCTCCCTCCCCTCCCCCCCTCCCTCCCCCACCCCCCACCTCTCCCCACCACCTCCCTCCCCCTCCCCCCACCCCTCCCACCTCCCCCCCTCCCTCCCCTCCCCCCTCCCTCCCCCACCTCCCTCCCCCCACCCCTCCCACCTCCCCCCCTCCCTCCCCTCCCCCCTCCCTCCCCCACCTCCCTCCCCCCCACCCCCAGCACCGCCGCCCACCTTTGTCGAGCACCGGCCCGAAGATGGCGAGGCTGTCGCTGAGCGTGGTGCAGTTCCAGCGCCGCCCGCGGAACTGGTGCTGGCACTCCTGGATGCCCAGCTTGAGGCCCTCCGCCACGCTGGGCATCAGCTCCAGGTAGTTGCGGCAGAAGCGCAGCTGCTTGGGCACGAGGCCCGGGATGGAGGCGCACAGCACGGGCTGGGAGCCCAGAGCCGCGTACTGGTTACCCACGGCCAGGGACCTGTGGAGTCACGGTCAAGGACAAAGACAAAGATTCCACACTCCCCGTAATAGCCTTGGCGGACTGATGGGGCAAGTGCTGTTAGCGAGTTCCACATGTGCTAAGGCCGGCACGGCACACGAAGGAGGGGGTGGGTGGCCAGCAGCCACGCCCGACCGCCTTTGTCTCCCCAGTGGCGATGTTTACACGCCGCACCAGGTACACATTTGAGGCTGAGTCGACCTAGGAGAAGCCCAGGACCGGTTCGGATAATCGTCACCGTTGTTGGCTGCGAGCGGGAATCGAACTCGGGTCGCAGAGTTCGGAGCGCAGCGCAGCGCTAACCGCAGCGCCACCGCTCCCCATAGTCCACCACTGTCACCATCACCACCCATCACGGACAGACGGACGGAGAGGGGAGTAGGGATACGACGCTCAGTGATCGAGCGAGTGAGTGCGAGAATGAATGAGTGAACGAATAAGAGACACGTGGGTCAAAGCGAGCGAAAGATTAGTAGAGACACGTGGAGCAGAATGAATGATTGAGTGAGAAAAACGTGGAGCAGAATTCATGAATCAATGAGAGAGGCACATGAAGCAGACTCAATGAATGAAACACTGAATGAGCAGAATGAATTATGGAGTAATTTATTGAATGAGAAAAAAAGTGCAGCATAATTAATTAGTGAGAAAAACGTGGACCAGAATTAATGAGATACTTGGAGCAGAATGAATAACTAACTCAACGAGAGAAAGCTACATGGAACCAAACGCGTGAATTTAATGAACGAGATACGCGCGGAACGAAAAAAAAACTATCGGAGCAGAATGAGAGAGAGAGAGAGACACGTGGAATACGATGAATGACACACGCGAATGAGAGCGAGGTGGTTAGACTCATCAGTCAGATCAGAATCGGCAGCAATCGTAACAATATGTTATCATTATCAAAAGCGCCTCGCGTTGCACTATAGCCATCAGCGGCAGCAGAACTAATCGCGGTGGCATCATCAGCAGCAGCAGTAACATTACCAGCGTCGGCAGTAGAATAACAGTGATCATTAGCAGCAGCATCATCATGAGGTCCGTGTCATCGGCGTCACTGTTGAGCATCATCCGTTCAGATAATCGCCACTGATGTCGACCTTGAGTGGGATCCGAACTCGGGTCGCCGGGTTCGTAGCGCAGCGCTCTAACCACTGCGTTACCGCTACCCACACACACACACACGGTATGTATGCACACAGACACAAAAACAAAGATCCCCCGTATAGCTTTGACAGACTGTCGGGGCAAGTGCTGCTAGCCGGCACGGCATACGAGGGGTGGGTGGCCAGCACCACGCCCGGACGCCTTTGTCTCCCCAGTGGCGATGTTTACACACCGCACCAGGTACTCATTTGAGGCTGAGTCGACCTAGGAGAGGCCCAGGACCGGTTCAGATAATCGACACTGGTGTTGGCCTTGAGCGGGAATCGAACCCAGATCGCCGGGTTCACAGTGCAGCGGGCTAACCGCTGCACCACCGCTCTCCACAGACACAAACACAGATAAAGATAAAGATCCCCCGTATAGCCTTAACAGGCTGTAGGGGCACACGAGGGGCTGGGTGGCCAACACAGACACACACACACAGACACACATTTATCATGCACTTTACACAGAGCGCGTATTAAAATCGCTTGGAACAGTGACGCAGCGAGTTGACACACGTGCTACCCCCCCCCCTCGCCGCCCTCCCCCCCCCCCCCACTGCCGACAACGAAGAACCGCAGCAGCCTATAACACCTGTCACGCCATGGTAAGTATCCCATGCAAGTGCTGTCCAGGCTGGGAGCCTGTGGAGCTTCCGAGATCTGCCTGGATGGGACGCGCTCCCCGTGATCTGGCCACTGGAGGTGACAGCTTCCCGGTCCTCGGCATGTGAACGCGGAGGGTGACTCGTACGTCAGACGCGTTGACCACGTGGGGTGGCTGCCCCCCCTGGCATAACGGTGATCAACCACTGGCCGAAATTGCAATCCAGAAGGCGCGGCAGTTCGATTGCGTCTCCCGGCTGAGAAGTTGACACTGTGGCATTGGCTTTCGAATCAACCTACGTTCGGAGTTGACTACGGATATGGATAATGTTCAGGGTGTAAAAACAAGTGGTACACTGACAGGGAAAATGGAACAACGATACGAAGAAGAGACGCCATGTGGCTAAGAGATGTTAACTACCTCGCCTGGTACACAGGAGGTTGTGGGTTCGATCCCGACCCTGACGCGTGCTGTATATTTGGAGTTTGCGTCTCTCTCTCTCATCATCATCACGGTGGCTAGGAAATGTTAACTACCTCGTTGGGTATACAGGAGGACGTGGGTTCGATCCTGACCCTGACACCTGCTGTATATTTGAAGTCTGCGTGTCTCTCTTTCTCCCCGTGGTCGCATGGATTTTTCTCCGGGTCCTCCGGGTTTTCCTTCTCCTCCACATTTAGAATCATCGTCATCGCGTTCACAGTATTTGGCTGCTGGACATTTCCACGTGATGATGAAAAGCCACTTCGTTGAGCTATCATTTGTGATAACCAGGTCGCTTCTAAAAAACGAACTCTGTAGCTCAGTGGGTATCTTACCTGGTAAAATAAATAGTATAGTTTAGTTAAGAAAAGTTAGCGGTCTTGGCAGGACGCATCAGCGTTGGAAGGGACGGCGATGGCGGTAATGATGGTGATGGTCATGATGGTGATGATGGTGATTATAGTGGCGATGTTGGTCATGATGCTGATGGTCATGATGGTGATGGTCATGATGGTTATGATGACGATGGTGATGATGATAGTGACGATGATGGTGATGATGTTGATGATGATGATGATGTTGATGACGTTGATGATGGTGCTGGTGTTGATAATGTTGATGATGGTGATGATGTTGAAGATGGTGATGACAATGGTGATGTTGATGACGTTAATGATGATGTTGATCATGATGATGGTGATGATGATGATGACGGGCCGGTGGTCGAGACTCGTGACGGAGTGACGCAGCGCGCAATAGAGTGCGGACCACCGCAGAGATGGAGCAATGGAATGAGCGATATCGCAGGATCCGCGAGGGATGGCGAACGTGTGGGAGCGCCTTCATTCAGCAGTGGAGAGAACATGACTCGGCCTCAAACGAGCGTACCTGCCGCGGCGTGTAAACATCGCCACGAGGAGAGACAAAGGCGGCCGGGCGTGGTGCTGGCCATCAATGCGTGCCATGCCGGCTTCCATAGGTGCACCTCGCTGACAGCACTTGCCCCCCAAAAAATGTTAAGGCTATACGGGGAATTTTTGTCTTGTATATGTATGGATGAAAATATACGTGCATTGATGTGTTATTATATATATGTGTGTATACGTGTGTGACAGCAGTACATGTGCGTGCTGTGTGTGTATATTGTATTGTATTGGGGAGCGGTTAGTGTTGTGGTTAGCGCACTGTGCTACTCGCCCGGCGACCCGAGTTCGATTCCTGATCACGGCCAATGCCAGTGACGATTATCTGAACCGGTCCTGGGCCTCTCCTAGGTCGACTCAGCCTCGAATGAGTACCTGGTACGGTACGTAAAAACATCGCCACTGCGGAGACAAAGGCGGCCGGGCGTGGTACTGGCCACCCAACCCCTCGTGCGCTGTGCCGGCCTTCATAGGTGCTCGCTAACAGCACTTGCCCCAACAGTCTGTTAAGGCTATACGAGGGATCTTTGTCTTTGTAGCGGGGAGCGGTTATTGTTGCGGTTAGCGCTACGCTGCGCTACGAACCCGGCGACCCGAGTTCGATTCCCGCTCACGGCCACCAACACCCAGTGACGATTATCAGAACGGTTCCTGGGCCTCCCCTAGATCGGCTCAGCCACAAATGAGTATACTGTATCGTGCGATGTGTGAACATCAGCCACTTGGGATGCATAACCGGCCGGCCGTGGTACTGGCCACCCTTAGCACGTAGTTTGTCAAGGCTATACGGGGGAACTTTGTCTTTGCTTGTGAGATGGAGCAGTGTCATCGCGCAGGAGATGGCTTTCGGTAAGGGCGAGTGAGCGCGTCCATCCAGCAGTGAAGAGACTATGGCTGACTATATCGATGGACGATTGATGATGATAACGAATGTATATACATATATAACTACGCGTGTGTAGTGTGTATATGTGTGTATACGTACGCATACGGAATGTGTGCACGGGTGTTCCCTAACAGCACTTGCCCTAACAGCCCGTCTCAGGCTATACGGGAGAGCTTTGTCTTGTGCTGTGTCTATATTCGTGCGACTGAGCAATACGATAACATCATACGCAGAAGTGAGATAGATCGTGGATATTCTCCAGCAGTGGATAGACCATGGCTACAAATATTTACACTTCGAAACAATTAGTAGAAAACTAACTTTACGATGCATTAGGTTGGTTTTTTTTTGCTGCTAATCGGGATTTAATTGCATTTCTCAAAACTTTTTTACCACATATTTTTGACCGCATAATGATCCCGTATAATGCAATACCATCACCGTGAAATCCATTCACACGCTTTCACTTACTCGTAGGTAGCAACCGTCCTTATCAAGGCCCCTTGGATGAAACGTCAAAATATACAGTTTCTTCTTACTGGCAATCAATAAATGAAAGTATTTAAATCGTCAGCAACAGCCATGTTCCATCCACTGCTGGGCGAATGCCTCCACACAGTCGCCACCCACAGCACCCACGTAAACTGTCAATTATTATTAATGTCGTCAAGTATTCTGTAACATTTCTGCTGCAGCGGCAACACTTACATCGGGTTTTGTATTATACAGCACTGCAACAACAATGCGTGTTTAATTTGGGTATCCATCTGCAATGTTATCCCGCATGGCTTCTTATTGTGTACACACATATATATACTGTCCTTAAATTACACTCGATTATCTCACGTTTAGCTCGAGTCGTGCACAATGCATACGGCGGTAATCTTCGCTGAAATGTCACCCCCCGTTTTTTTCGTTCGTGTTACATT